GCCGGTGGTACGGTATTTTATACGGAGATCTGGGTAGTAAGCAATCCATCTGCCTATGCTCGCACTTTGCATTCGGAGACAGCAATGCACAGTCTTATGGCTGCACACAAAAGCTGGCTTACTGGAGAGAAAGGCAAGCTTTGTCCAGCAACGGTCCGAGGGCAACGCGTGGGATGATGGCTCAATTTCCTTTCTGCTGGTCCGGCTACGACGACCTACATGGCCATGGTACGGATTGCATAGTCGTCCACGTCTCAACCCAGTCTCGGTTCCAGACTCGCGACGTCATCTCCACCTACACACAATTATGATAGGATGTCTATCAATCTGTTCGCTGCCATGGCACCGTCGTAGCTTCGTACTATGACTCTCCATGGCTTAGACAGCCCATGTACATGCAATCAATGTGAATCTTCTCATCAGTCCACACCAGCAATCTGTAACCAGCGCCATGGCAGGCAGACGCGTAACGGGCACGGCTCAAGCTTGGAAGCTGCAAGGCGTAAAACCCCGCGAATGTCCTACACCTACAGCCGAAGCTTTCCCTTGGCCATCTCACCAATACCGGTCCATCTCCCCACCACACACATCATCCTTTATTGTCACGCGCGGCCACTCTTGCTTTTGTGCTTTAGCAAGCTCTCACCACCAGCATGGCACTGCATCGTTTGGGCAAGCCAGCTACCTAGCTGCTTCCCTACCTGCTGTGGCCCATGGCTACCCCTTTTCGTCGAGACAACCATGGCAAGCGACAGTGGAAGACTGGGAAGATGCATCTGCAAGCTGCAGCCGCGGCCATGGCTCACGCGACGAACTGGAGATGGACGAGGAACATGGAACCATTCCAAGGCCTTGCGACTCGTGAGCGCGCCATCTCACCACTTTTCACGTGCTGATCCGGCCAGATCCCCAACTGCCCACTAACGCTGATCGTCTTAGCCTTCCCGTCCCCCAGAGCCCGTGCTCACTTGTCATCGAACCTCGGCCAACATGAAGGGACCGCCATCAACACATGACGCTGCACAGATTGCTGCACCCCTAGCATATAACCTCTCTCCCCTCGGCCCTCTTGCAATTGCGGCCTCATGGAAGAAGCACCACGCTCCGCCTCACGCTCACGGCGCTCTTACCCTAATCTTCAAAATCTCTCCCTTGCACCCCTCACCGCCAAATACCCCCTCGATGCCTCCGCACCGCCCTCACCCGAAGACCGGACCCGCACACCGCGCACTTCCTACATTGCCCAAAAGTCGGCTCCAACCACCCCAGGCATCCTCAGTCTGAGCCAATCCCGCAGCAACTCGCGGAATCGTGCCAAAAAGGCTTACGCCTACGATGGCTACTTCATCGACACGTCGGTCCGCGAGATCGGCGACGTACCCAAAGCAAAAAGCACAAGCACCCTCCTACACCATCCCCACGGTGTCAGCTTCGCAGACCAAACCCCTATTGTACTCGGCCCCGAAACCAAGAAATTGAACCAAGGCAGACACCACACGCGGAAACGCACAGCACCGCTCCCAGCACCACGTACACCACTTTCCCGGCCCCACCAACACAACCACCACCATAAACGCCACACAGAAGAATCCAAAGAAGAATGGCTTCACCGCGCCGGTCTGGCCATCGCCAGCGAATCGCGCGATAGCAAAGGCCAAGGCTGGCTCATCAGCCGAGAAAGCTCAACGAGCCTCGTCGGCCAAGCAGACAACTACGACCTCGAACCCCAACGCATGGCCCTCCTCTCCGGCCACCACATCACCGACCCAGACTACCCGAACCCCTCCTTCTTCTCCCCCCATATCTCCCACGCAGGCAGCCGAATCCCCTCTCGCGTGCACTCCCGCGCCCCCAGCGCCCGTCAGAGCCGCAGGACCAGCAGAGTAGGATCCCGCGTCGATCTCCTCGCACCAGGCCACTCGCACCCTTGCCTCGACCCCGCCGAATCCACCCCCCTCGACCTCGTCACCGACGACCCTTATCCCGAACCAGACTTCTTGGGCGCCCCAGAGGAAGACGACGACGACAACCAATCCACCTCGACAACTTCCGACCCCGACGAAGTCCACCTCGCCCGACTCGCGCGCGAACCCGCCTTTGGAATCGCCGGCTGGCTCGACCGCTTCATTGGCTGGTCTCTGTTTTCCGTGACTGAGGATGGCGAGGCGAGTTCCGATGACGATGACGACAATGCGGATGAAGATCGGCTCCACTATCAACACCAGCAACAGCCCCCTCAATTGGCAAATCTCACCAGAGACGAGTTGAAGTTGCGGCGCGAGGTCGAGGCGAAGAGGCGCAAGTTGGAGAGGGAGGGTGTGGTGGCTGCGGCGGCTGTAGGGGGGACGGGTGCGGGGGATAGGGATGCGGGGGATGCGGGAGGTGGGGATGATGATGCTCGGCGGTCTGAGGAGGTGGAGGAGGTGGGAGGATGGCACGATGCAGCGTGGTTGTTGAGTGTAGCTTCGAAAGCACTGTTATCGTGACCCAGGGGTGTTTAGTCTGCCCTTGTGGAAACAGTTTTTTTGTTTCCTTGCCCAACAGGATTGATTTCAGTCGAGGAGTGACGAGTTGCATCACCTTGAATCATGTGCATAATTCCCACAATTTCAGAAACTTGTGGAAAATGATTGTGGTTTCGAGTCTACTAGAACTAGGAGACTGATATAGTCTTATATAACATGTGGTTATAAACCACCCCACCAAGACACAAAACACACCACCCACCCTACTTCCTTATTCTTACAAGACAACAAAACAAACACACACACACACACATATATATATATATATATACATCACACCCCCTCCAAACACCAAACCACAACATCCCCCACCCTCCTCCCATCATCATGCCAATGACTATTCCACCCCCGCCAACACTCACGATACCGACTGCCCTGCAAAAACCCCTCCAACATCTCCTCGAGGGCCTCGAAAAAGACGAGATGCTCGGGCCACTCGCGCCTCGACGGGTCCTTCAACTTGGCATCGTGGCGGGCCCAGTGGCGGCCAGAGGGGCCGCCGGCGCCGCCGTCGCGCTGAATCGAAGCTGGGTCTTGCATGTTGGTGCGGAGCCAGGAGACGGGGCCTGGGTGGATGTAGAAGGCGTCTGCTTCGTCGAGGTACGAGGGGCGGTCGGGAAGGGGAATGTGCAGTGGGGGTTCGCAGGTGAGAGCCCAGGCGGAGATGGAGGGGTAGATGAGGTGGGAGCGCCAAGGGGTGGAGTGGCAGGGCATCAGGAAGGCTACGGTTGTGTTGGTGATGGGGTGGGTTGTGCTGCTGCCGGAGACGGCGGACAGGTGGTTGTGTGTCTCGTGCTTGTGGCGGAGGTAGGTGAGGACGTCGATGACGCCGCGTTGGTGGATTTGTGATACATAACCGGCGAGTAGGACGTTCACGCTGAGGAGGGCGATGACTATGGCTTTGCGGGGAAGGGAGATAGGCGGGCTGAGAAAGGAGGAGAGCGGTGCGGCGGCGATGATGTGGAGGAAGGGGAGAATGGGGTAGAGGAAGCGTACTTCCTTGTGGGATATCAGACTCAGCACCAAGGTCATGAAGATGGAGGTATAGGCTAGACGTGTGACGATGTGATGTTGTATCACGTCTTCATCAGAAGGGCTTCTGTTGGCCTGGACACTTGCGGACGAGGCCAGACTCTGGTTCCTTGAGCCTCGCAAAGACTGCCAGAGTTCCGCGACGGCAAAGGGTAGCGCCGTGGTCAGAAGCAAGGGCAGGCCTTCGGTGAAATAATAGTCTGCTCTGTTCTTGCCATAAAAGACAGCCAATGACTGAGCAATGTTGAAGTACAAGAAGCGAAGCGGCGGCAGGGTCCAGGCTCCATAGTAAAGTCTGTCGGATGCAACCGAGCATGCGACGACAGCAGATCTAGCATCGTCGGTCAGACTCATCCTCTCGTGACCGCGAACATGGGGTAGTGCAAAGCTGCACCGACTCTTGACCCAAGCCATATGTCGTCCATGACTAGGACCCTGCAGCAGGCACTGGTAGAAGGAAGCACTTACCCGCAGGACAGAATTTCGCGGACCAACACATACCGCAGCCATTTCGAGGCTTGCCAGAGGGTGGGAACGCATACGCAAAGCCAGATGAGGCCATTGGTTGGCCGGAGGATACAGGCAAGTGCTGCCAGCAGCAATGACAAACGAAGCCTGCATGAGCATGAGCCTAAAGTGGCGCTGCCCCGGAGTACGGGGATGGAGTTCTCCCACTTGCACGACTTACTCTGATATAGAGCCGAGGCCTATGTGGCTACCAGCTTGCTTTTTACCCTTGGCTCCAAGATTTTCCTCTCTTGCAAGAGCATGCCAGTGCCATGGCCAATAGTACATGGCAATGGCGGTGATGGTCGTCTCCGCGCAGTTGGACAAGGTTCTTGTAGAGCAGAACCACTGCCACGGGCTGCACACGGACAAGGCCAACTAGGTGACGCAAGATCAAATATCAGATATTGTCTAAAGGAAATTGCGGGACGGCGGGGCCTACTGTAGTGAGAGCGGTACGACTGCCAGGGCCGTAGACTTTTTCCGCAAGCTTCCATGTATAGCAGTCGAGTAGTGCTGCGAGGATGGCTTGGGTGAGCTTGGGAGTTGCCAGTAGGACTGTTGCTTTAGCTGGCCAACTCAAGCCACAGACATGTGCTAGATCTGCCGCGACTCGGTAGAGGGCTGCAAATAGCGTTGGATGCAGGGACGAGCGCAACTGAGTAGTCAAGTCCTATTCATCTTGTGAGACGACGGCCGAGGGAGATGGAGAGAGAGAGGGAGAGGGAGAGGGAGAGAGATTTCGACGGGCATTTACCCAGGTGATCCAGGCATTGCTGGTGGTGCCAAAGGCCAGCTGCCATGCGGGCTCGAGCGACTGGAAGAACTCGTCAGGCTGGAAGAAGGTGCGCAGGGCCAATGCATTCACGATGCGGAAAGCAAATAACAGGGCGACAAGGCCGACGCCTAGCGGGGCAGAGTCACGATGGCGAGTGGAGGGTGTTTGTGATGGAGCAGCGGTGGTGGCCGGCGTGGTGGCCGTCGTGGCCGTCGTGGCCGTGGCAGGGTCGGTGATGGAGGGCATTGATCAATCAGCAAGCGTGGAGCCAGGCGTGGGTGGCCAGGTCGAGGTCGGGGACAGGATGCAGCGCAAGGTGACGATGCAAGAAAAGGGTGGTCTAGTCCCTTGGCACGAGGGGCTATCGGTCAAGGCCTGCCATGCACCATGGCGTTTCTGTGGAAAGTGCAGAAAATTGATGCTCCAGCCCATACTCGATTAGGACTTTCACGATGATTCTGGTGATTCTACCAGCGCCTAGACTCGGGTTCATCTGCTCGGCCTGGTGTCGTCGCACGGCATGCAGGGTGACTGTGGGGGACTGTGCGGTGAAGAGGCCCGTAATTTCTCACAATGGGTGTTGCAGACTGCAGTCATGATGGGGGACTTTGCTGGTGTCTGCATGGGCATAGGCTGGGGGGGAAGACGGATGATGGGACAAAGAGTGCGCGCTTCCTATGCAAGTGGTAGGGACGGTAAGCTGTGGTGGTATGGTAGCAAGTGGCGAGCGAGTTCACGATAGTGGGTGGGGCTCATTTTTCTTGAGAGAACAGCCTGGACAAGTTGGGCCAGAGATGCAGACGACCCGTTTCCGGCTCTCCAGCCTGCCACGCTCCCAGCTTACTGGTGCGCGTGTGTGTCCAAGGCATCGTGGGGTGTGCGCGAGTGGTCCGCGGCCCAAGAATGAGGTTGGGCATGCTTCCAAAAAAAAAGCAATGAGATAGCTGTAGATATTGTATGCAGGATGCGAGGTGAAAATCTGGGGAATACCTAGCGGCTGAGAGAGGGGTCCATTTCTGGTACAGCCATGCCATGAAGGGAAGCGGGTTGATGAGATGACACGAGATGGCAGCTTGCAGTGTGCATCCATCCTCTCTCTCTGGCTGGGGGGTTTTAGAGTTTCCCCCCAAGGCTAGCTATTTTTTTTTGTTGGTGTGCTTATCGCGGCTGTCCCCAGAGAGAGGGAGAGGGCATTAGCATGGGGTGGAACGGTAGTATGTAGTAGGTACCATAGATAGTGTTAGTCTGCAGCCGGCTCAGACGGAAGCAGCAGTGTGGAACTCCCATTGGATAGACAGATAGAGTAGCTACTCAGTATGATGGACATGCAAATCGACATAGAGTAGATGGTAGGAGGTTGTAGTGTGTATAGGGCCAGGCAGCAGCAGCTTCCTCGAGATGGTGCGAGATGGGTGGTTGAAATCCATTTTATTTTAGTCTACCTCTCTGTCTGTCTGCCCTGCCTGTCTGTCTGTCTGTCTCTCTAAAGGGTTGGGTCAAGCGAACTACGCCTCCGTGTTCACAAACAGGCAGGGGAGGGGAGGGGAGGAAGGAGCGCGTCATGGATTGTTGGGAAGTGGTGTGGACCAATAGGCAGGCGCAGCGAATGACGGCCGACCAGGGTTGGCAGACACACACCAGACATCCATGCAAGACGGCAGCAAAGGGAAGGCAGGAGCAAGCTATACCCTATCGGGCTGGCTGCATATGTGGGTGATTGAGCGCGGACGGCCGGGGCTCGCTCGCTGCCGCCGGGGGTTGTTGTGAGGGTGTGTATTGGGTGTATTGTAGGCACACACTGTACACTGTGCACTACTCCTACTCTTTATTCTTTATACTGTTACCGTACTGTACTGTGCTGTATGTAATGTATTGACACTGGCACTGGCACTGGCCACTTGTCTAGCTTGCCAGGCCAGTCAGTGTACAAATCAGTGTGTGTTGTGCGTAAAAGAGCACCTAGAGTATGTACCAGGTAGGTACTGTATGTATGTACTGGATCTACTGTGCACGGCCTCTGGCTGGCAGAGATCATGGCCAACCCGTATGGCAGCAGGCAGCCTGGCAAAGCGCCCGCTCGCCTGCCTGCCTTGCCCTCAACAATATATTTACTCTACAGTACCTACATACAATAAATGTACGCGCTTCCCGCGGCGCCCTCTCTCTACTCCCTCTCGTCGCCGTGGGCCTTCGAGTCGCCACTGCTTTTCTATTGTGTGCTTTCTCTCATCCCAACCCTGCCCTTCTCTCCTTCTCGACTCGTTCGCCCACTGCTGCAACCCGCACCCGCACCTGCACCTGCACCACCACCACCACCACCAACCCCACCCCTCCCTCCTCTCTCTCTTCTTCTTCTTCTTCTTCTTCTTCTTCTCCTCCTCCTCTCCTCTTCTGCTGCGCTCGCTTTGTTTCTCGCCTGCGGCCCAGAATAGCGTCTCCACTTGTTTTCTTTTGCCAGCCCCCGGCCTTGCCCTCGCCCGCCTGGAGGGGAGGGCGTCATCTACCGCCAGCGGGTCCCAAACTAGCTAGGGGCCATCACTGCCGTCTTGGGAAAGCGTGCGTGAGCCGATCGCGCCTCTCAACCAGGCCCCATATCGAGCCGTTGAGCGCACCATCGCATCCACGCCCAGACGACGCCCGCTCGCTCGCCTACCCTACCATAGTACTTACAGTAGCCACCAACCCTACCTACTCACCCACCCACCCAATCCACCAACCTGCCTACCTGCCTACCTACCTACTTTACTCTACTCTACTTTGCCTACCCTTTCATAGCGCAACCAGCTACTATCACTCCCGCCCCGCCCCGCCCCTCCTCTTCCTCGTCCTCCTACGACACCACCTACCCCCAACAACCAACCCACTTGCCTTCTGTGTCTCGCGATTTGACCCTGCGTCCTGTCGTGCCTGCCACCGCCTGCCCAACGCCTCCCGCACAGCATGAGACGGGCGGCCTTTGACTGTCGCTACGAGAGACCCTAGCCCTAGAACCCCTAGGAAACCTGACATGGTCGCACTGTCTGGCTCGACCTGAGACGTTCGAGCGCCCGGTTTGCCATGGAGGCCCCGACTGCGGATCTGACAGCCGAAGGAGCGACGCGGGGCCACTTCTCTGCCGCGGACGCTACCTCTGTCTCTGCCTCTGCGTGCAACAGCCCAGAGCACGGAGACGAGGCGCCTGCGCATTCCTCACACGAAACCTCCACCCTGTCGCTGCCGTCGTTGTCGTCGTCGTCGCCGCCGCCGCTCGCTCACAACGACAACGACGACGACTCTTCGACGCATGGTAGCCATCATGCCCAGGACACACTGGCAGTAGACGTCGAGGAGAACGACTGCACGCCACGGTCAGAGCTCCCCTCTGTCCCCGAGGCCCTCAGCGCGAATCTGCTCACCCAGATGCACACATTGGACCCTGAGCCCAGCTACTTCTCGCCGCAGCCCCTCCGCATCTACTCGTCGCCCATCTCCCACTCTACACCCCCATCGACAAACCCCTCGCCCGTATCGAGCACGCATACCTCGGCCACGTCCCTGACCAATCTCCACCACCACCGCCAGCCGCCTGTCGATGGCACAACCGGCTTCTCTGGCCCTTCGCCCCATCCCGACCGCCCCGCCTTCCAGCGAGACATCTCCAGCGCCTCGACCGCCAGCAATACGACCGTGCGGGCCAATACGGCAGATACCGCCCACACCTACACCTTTGCTGCGCACGCACGCCAGCGAGATGGGCCTGTCTACCCCAACCAGTCCTATGCTGCCCTGCACCTCCAGCAGCATCCTCTTCCACATATCCCACCCATCGTCCGCTCGCGCAGCTCGCATCCGGCCCACACCGCAGCCAACTCACTATCGAGCCTGGGCAGCTTTGGCGTCCACAACGACCACTATCGTGATATCATGGACTCTGCCCCACGCACTGTCGGTAATTCACCAGTCAGTAGCCCGGGTTTGTTTGATCCTACCACGCGTCGTGCTACTAATCTGGAAAGTCTGAATGACGGACTGCACTCGACTCCCTGGCTGCACCCAGCCCACCGACAGCCCCCCAAGGAAACCCACATTGCCGATGTCCAGGCCGATCCTGTCTCTGGCCGTAAGATTGTCAACCAGTACGAGATCATCGACGAGCTTGGCCGCGGCGTGCACGGAAAGGTCAAGCTGGGCAAGGATCTGGCCCATGCCCGCTATGTCGCCATCAAAATCGTCGATCGCTACTCGAAGCGTAGACGCCTGGGCAAGAATACCAGCCATGAAGACAAGATTAAACGCGAGATTGCCATTCTGAAAAAGGCCCGCCATCCCAATATTGTCAGCTTGCTCGAAGTCATTGATGACCCAGCTAAGAAAAAGGTCTACATCGTACTGGAGCATGTCGAGTTGGGCGAAGTCAAGTGGCGGACCGAGGGCGCAAAGGAAATCTGCCTGGTCGAATGGCGTCGCATCAAGCGAGAATCCAAGGGCATCTTCGACAATGATAGCGCCCGGTTGGAAGACGAGAGGATCATGCGAGAGGCTCACCAGCAGCTTGCCCGTGAGCAACGCCGCATGGCAAGGAAAGCACAGGCTCAGCTCCGTCGTCAGGAGTCCCATCCTGGCCAATCGTGGAGCCTTGAATTCGCCATGGAATCCGATGACGAACAGTCCGAGGCAGGTGGTAGCTCGCAGGCCTCCCACTATGGTGATGAGCATCACAACACTCGCGTTCAATTCAGTGACAGACAGGATCCATCAAGTCGCTACGATGATTCCATGGAAACGGCCTTCCGCTCGCCAGCCCCTCTATCCTCTTCCATACCCACTGGGCTGGAGGGTACCATGTATGGCGCGTACGACAACGATTTCATGCGTGGGCGTGCCGCAAGCTTGGCAGGCAGTAACAACTCTTCCCACTGTGCGGACATGGAGGAAAATATCCCCGAGCACTTTCAATACGTTCCGCTGATGACTACCCAGGCTGCCTGGGAAGCCTTCAAGGATACCGTGTTGGGTCTTGAATATCTTCATTATCAGAACGTCATCCATCGAGACATCAAGCCGGCTAATCTGCTGGTCACCAAGGAGCATCGAATCAAGATCTCGGATTTTGGCGTGTCTTATCTCGGACGACAGAAAACGGAAGAGGGTACCGGAGATCACTCTGAATCTGAGCATCAGGAGGTCGATGAGGCCATTGAGCTAGCCAAGACTGTCGGCACTCCAGCCTTTTACGCGCCCGAGTTATGCCGTACAGAAATCGATGTCGATACCCCACTCATTGATGGAAGTATCGACATCTGGGCCCTCGGCGTAACGCTCTACTGCCTCATCTACGGCCGTGTACCTTTCCACGACACGAATCCTTTTGTACTGATGAAAATCATCAGTGAGGAGGAGCCGTACATCCCGAGATATCGCCTCAAGCCTGTCGCTGAAGGCCCCAACTCGCGGCCGAGCTCGCATGGACGGAACAGTCAGCCGATGACGAGCAGCAAGAGGGCAGCACACGATCTCGAATACGAAGAGGTAGATGAAAATTTGCGCGATCTGTTGCGCAAATTGCTCATCAAAGATGCACGTCAACGCATCACGATCCCCGAGATCAAGCAACACCCCTGGTTGCTATCAGGCATTCCCAATCGCGTTGCATGGGCCGAAGAGACGGACCCAAGTAGGTCGTATGACGGCGGCAAGATTGAGATTTCCAAGGACGACGTGGACATGGCCGTGGTTCCTATCGGCTTTGTTGAACGCATACGATCGGCAGTCAAGAAGACTTCAGACTTCGTGGCAAAGGGCTTTACACGCAGTTCAGGGTCACGTAGGCGTGCCCAGAGCACTGTGACACACCAGAATGCCCCGCCCAACATGAGTGCGAACTCTTCAAGCAGCACAATCAGTCAAGACGGTAGACGCGGAAGCCTGGCGCCCATTGCGATTCTAGAGCGCATAGGTCTGTCACGTGAAGCAGACCACCCCCTATCTCACAGTGTTACTGCGAGTCCGGAAGCAAGGGAACGAACGAAATTCTTCGATAGCCCAGACTCACGCACCGCTTCACCTGCACAAGGTGTTGACAGCCAAAGGCCGCACATGCAGGACCGTTCCATGTCGTCAGTGCATACTGTCCGACAAGGAGACTTGCTTTACGGCCGTTCTGCATCCCCTGCTCTGCCTCCAGCGCTTCCTGGTACACCGACTGCGCTGGACACGCCTGGTGGCTCGCAACTGAGTGGTCTGTTTGGCGGTCTTCCGCGCAGGGTGGTAAACAGTATGCGAAGCAACAAGAATCTCAAGGGCGCAAAAGATCACAACCGCACCAAGTCGATTGACAGACTGTACGAAGGCGGAGATGATGCTCATGGTATGCCGAGTCTTGCACTCAGTACCACCAATGCCTCTGGCCACGTTGATCAACCGGATATTCTCAAAGATTTGTCCCCAGTCGCTCGATGTTCATCGCCAAGCTCCTCGGAGGCCTTTTCGTTTAGTCGCATGGGGACCTCGTCACGGCAGTCTTCCATGTCATCCTTGAAATCTTCTCGTCTCCAACGCAACTGGGCCGCAGCGAACGAAGCCGACACGGGTCCCAACTTAGGCTTAAACTCAGAGTACCGCACAGACCTCTCGTACGGACGCTCTCCCTTCGCCCACAACAGCCAACAATACGATACTGGCCGGAGGCCTAGTTACCCTGCACCACTGCGTGAGTCATCGGAGGATCAGTTCAATCGTGCCAAAGCTGAGCAGATTCGGCTAAGGGTCAGAGAAGCCAGGGAGAGGTCCAATTCCGGCACTCTTCCCAGGCCTCCCTCAGCTTTGAGTCAATCTGCATGTCCACCAAGTCCAGACGACGAATTCGGCTATCAACGAGTCACCGAGTACTTGAATCATCGTGATCCCTCTACTGAGAATAGTCCTGTTGGTGGAGAGGAGCGGGGTTTAGCATTTTGCTCGTCCGAAGAGCAATTCACGTCCATGTCGCAGTCCACGTCCAACCCCTCAATCCCTTCTGCCGCATCTGCTGGTTCTTCGGCATCAGATGAGTGCGCGCCACTCGACTATTACGCGGACGTGCTGCCCAACTCATCCACATCCTTAGACAGGAAACAATTCAAATCTCCTAGCGATGATCTCGCAGGCTACGAAGGCGATCACGCTGTTGACAGCGAAGAAGACTCGGATAGCGAGGAGGAAGTCTTGTTCATTGGTGCCCCTAAGAAGAAGCCCCAATTAAAAACATGTCGAAGCAATTCCGTAAACATCGCGGAGGTCGCACGCTCCAATACACACCCGTCATTCAGCCACCGCCGTCGCTCGGCTCGCAGCGGCAGCAACGGCACCGTCAAAAAGATCCCCCCAACTGAAGCGACGTCCGAAGAGCACACTCCCACGCTCGAAACATCATAAGCCAGCAAGGAGACATTTGTACACTATGACAAGCTCGCGCTCGCTTTCTCCGCGTTTGAACACATGAACATTTCGCCGCATCTACATCGTTCTGTTTATGAGTACGCATGCCTTCCGGGTTTCCGGGCATAGGCCCCCCCTTGTACGAATACTACAAACAAACTTCATTTCCATGGTAGGCGCTGGGCGTTTTACACTACTATTTTTATGGCACTTTTGGCTCAATCTGCATGGGGAAAGGGCGTTTTTCTCCATCAAAAGGCGGCGTTTTTTTTTCTCTCCCTCAATCTCTCTTGATTGACTTTGGAGGTTTTTACACACTTTGTATCTACCTTTCTTTTTCTGACCCTATGCGTCCGGTTGAATCACGCATGAAGGATATCGAGAGTGGGCTTGGTACGCTCGCATACACATCGTCTTTCTGGATTCCTGGTTGGGGCTGGCTTACATTATGGTGAGAGGTTTCTATTCCGGTTGGGATGGGGTACGAATACAGGACGGATGGAACGGATGGGATGAATGAAACCGGGATGCATATATGCAAATCTTGCTGAGATGAAGGTCATGACGATTACCCCGCTTTTCGGGCTTGGGCGCGATAGCTGTGCGCGCGCGCTGGTGGTTGCTGGGATGGGGTTTGGAGTCGGTTTGTTGTTGTCGTTGTTGTCGTTGTTGTAGGAAAGGAACGGATAGGATAAGAAAGTGGAGCATTGGGGGTCTTTTGGGTGCATTATAGAAGGGGTTCTGGGCTGGTGGATTGGCTTTTTCTTTCTTCTCCTTTACCGAGATGGCTTTTTGGTTGGCTTTGGCTAGGACTTGGGCTTGGGCTTGGGCCCGAAACTGCATGTGGGAGCTTGAGCTTGCAAGTGATTAATTCAATCTTGTTGTGTTGTGTTGTTGGCTTTGCTTCTTGTGCAGGTGTGTGGATGCTGCTTGTTGGTTGTTGGTTGATGGTTGTATGATTGGGGTGGCATCTTTAGGATGGGATGTGTGTATGTATATATATAACATGTCCCCTCTAGGTAGCTATGTATATTAAACTATCCTAAGTGTTGCACAAAAACTCGAGAAATTACAGCTATCTGTGATGTGGAAGTATCTTGGATTCATCGAAGTGGAATTGAACTCTGTATATGCGATGAAGATGGCTGCTGCGGTAGATGCCTGGATGGATGGAAGGTTAGAGAAAGGAGAGAGGGAGAGAGGGAGGGAGAGAGGTGCGTGTATCCGGGATGAAAGTGAAAAAGGAAAAGTGGGTAGAAGAGGGTAGAAGGCGGGGGCATGGCTATGGACTAGTTGTCACGAAAGAGTTGGCATCTTCAGATGGCAAAGGGGTGTGAACAATATGCTCCCCCCTAATGAGAAGCAACAAAAACCGCAACTTTTGCATAAACAGGACATTTTCGTGACAAGGTGCCGTGATCATTTACTTCTTCATGCGCGTACTTTTCCTCGTACCTACACTGACTTCCTTCGACTTTACAGTCTTCTTGGGCATCTTTTTAGGCGGCGCATTCTCGTCCTCCAAGTCTTGCATCCTCCTCTTTCCCCCAACCTCATCCGCCACAGCACGCTTTCCTTCCCCAGCCAACTCCTCGCCCCCAAACCCATCATCTCCGCCCTCTTCTCCCACCCCACCCCCAACATCCACCCTCTCCTTCCCCAACACCCACGCCACCTTCTCCACATGCACAGCCTGCACCCGCTGCACCCCCAGCCGCCTCCTCAACTCCCCGACCTTCTCCACCACCACCCCATACTCCTTCGCCGTATACTTGATCCCCCTCCTCCACCCCGCCTCCCCATCCGCCTCCCCCCAAACACACCAGCGAAACAGCTCGTCCGAGAAAAACGGGACATCGGCCGGACGCAGCACAGACAGCAGCAACGACGCCGTCGCCGGCCCAACCCCCCTAAGCTGCGTGAGCAGCTTAAGCCCAGCCTGCACATCTGCAACCGCCGCGGTCTTTGCGACTTCCGCAGCCGCAGTCGTGATGTTCAGCACGCTGGCTGCGTCGTTGGATTGCACTAGTGACAGCAGTTTTGGACGAAAGGTGCCGTGTTTGCTGTGCGTCCCCAACCCGGATTGAAATTAACAACCGCTGTGATCAAGGAATAGTTTTCGGAGGAAATCACGTACAGTTTCCACTCGACTAATGTTTCAACCATGCTCTTTGTAAGATTTGCACTGCCATCTTCGCAGATCGCTGTGGCGGGTATGGTTTCGTAGCGTTGGGTGTCAAGGTTGCGTAGTTTGTCTGGTACGGTGGCCGGGTAGCGTGATAGTGCTTCTGTAAAGATCTTGTAGGAGATGCTGTTAATGTGGTATGCTGGCATTGCGCGTGGGTAAGTTTTGGTCAATAGTGCAAGGACGGTGCGGGTACTCCAATGAGTACCTAGACGCGCGTGTTGATACGCGTGAAACGCGCGAACGCGGGATCACGTGGCAGGGCACATGTCATGGCATTCTGTATTAGACTTTGGGCAGGAGTCAGTAAACTCAAGTAAAGTAGCTTGCCAGCCCAGACTTTGTATATTGGTCAATCTCCGATTTACTATTGGAAGCACAAAGCGCTAAACTCTTCTGTTTGGGTATATATCGTTCCGAACAAGTGCAAGCATTACATCTATCCATATGAATCCTCAAAAACTTTATAATAGCCCGTAGTACCGAAGATGGCCAGTGATCAGCATACTTGAACGCCATGCTATATATCTACGTCGTCTTCCTCGGACGACCTCGACCACGCTTTGGAGTATCTCTACCTCTCGTCGGTACAACGTGGCCTCGGCCTCCACCAGGCGGTCGGCCAGGCCTTTTGCGTATGGGTGCAGTCGCCAGTACATCTAACTCACTCTCAGATTCAGATATGTCCTGCAAGACAGCCTTCTTGTTGACACTTGTGAAGCGGCCGCCTGGCGACGTTTTGCTCGTACTCCCCACAATCTTAATGCTCTTGCCAGCCATGCCAGGCCTATTGAGCAGCGAATTGGACACTTGTGGTGGCCCTGCAGAAGCAATCGGGGGGCCTTGATCATCCGAGAACTCCTCGCCCATGACCGAATCTCCGTCGAAAAGATTGCCAAGAACTTTGTTGATGTCGAGACGTTCTTCATCAGACTCCGTGACGAAGGCCATCTTTGTGCGCAAATTCTCTTCGACCTCGTGAGCAACAGCGGCAGCACGTTTTTCCTCGGCTTTAGCTTTAGCCTCAGCCTTCTGTTGAGCTTCCAGTGCAGCCGCTGCTGCGTACCGTGCTATTGGGTTAGATTCGGAGTTGTGGTCATCTTCCTCGTGGATGCCGTCCTCGTCAGACATGCCACCAGTGCTGTTATAACCTGGCTCCTTTGCTGGTCGACTCACAGGCCGAATTCTGGCTTTCGGCTTGGGAGGCATAGCCTTCCTTCGCTCATTGTATTGGCGCTTCCGTTCTCGATCCTTCTCACGATTAGGTCGAACGTCGCCATCCCTGAAGTCAGCAGGCAATTCTGTGGGAAGGTCCTCTTCACCCTCATTTCTCCGCGCAAGCCAATTGGAGGCTCGCCCACGTGAACGGCAAGTATACTCGATATCGTTGTCATCGTTTTCATCCGCAAACTCCTCGTCAGAGTCAAGCGTAATCTCCTCGAAGTGTCCACGTGGTCTACCGGGCCTGACAGGACCACCTAAGTCAGGATTGCGTTTTCGCGTTGAGTAAGCCCCATCGTCTTCCACGCGCACGCGATATGTTTTTGCATCCTTGTCTTTACCAGCGATACTTTTATCAGCATTAGGCTTCGATAATACGTCTGATTGAAGGATCGACCGCATGTTCCCGAGCATATCAGCTTCTTCAGGCGTCCTTTGCGGCATAACTTGTGGACGTTCAGACGTCTGCCTATCTCGGAGCATCTGAAGATGGCCTGTACTCAATGAGAGCGTGACAATCTTCGACTTCCCCTTCATTCTTGCAGCAACTAGAATGGCTCTATCTTCACGCTTAGCCTCCTCCAAGAGTTTTCTCTCCACCTCTTTCTGATACTGCTGACCAGATACGTTCTTAGGTTGCAACGGCTGCGTGGCTGCATCTTTTTTCTTTTTCTTCTGTTTCTTCTTTCTGCGACTGTGGTTGCCATCATCATCGTCTTCATCATCAAGTCCTCGCTTTTGACCTAGTCGCGGTATCTCTCTATCAATGTCGGGACCAGGATAGTATGATCCGCTATTGGCTTCGTTATTGAATGGACCTGCCAGTACACCGTCGCCTGACTCGTTGATGTTTCCATTCGCATCTTCTACTGGTGAATAGGTGATGCCATATCGAGTCAAGCCGTTTTCTTCTTCTATAAAGCGCGCATCGAGTGAGGGATCAGCTAACTTATCCATCTCGGCCTGTTGCATTCGCCGCTGCATAGGAGTCTGAGCAATACCTTCCTCCTCACGTAGCCAATTGAGGTTTGAAACACTGAAATCAACCAAACACTCCACTGAGCGCGGGTCTGCGACCTTCTTGGTATCATGTCCGAGAAGGGTACCTTTGGGCTCATATGGATGTTGTCTAGGGTCGCGTCGACATGCGCCGGTATTGCAGACGCGCCTGCAGTGGGGACATTTCCAGTTGGGATCTTCCATGATGGATATAGGCATAAGGTCGTGGGCCCGGAAGAGTGTGCCATAACAATACGATAAATCGCAGTTAGTGCAAAAGGCCATTTTCCACGTGGGATGTCGATGGAGACAAAAGTGGCAGGACTTGTGCTTGTTCAACCATTGTTTCGACTTCTTGTTCGTGACCTTCTTGACCATGCCGTACTCGTCTACAACAGGTTCCTCGTCCTCCGATGTTCCCTCTCGTTGTGGATTCTTGATGTCGACAAACGGACGCGCGCGGAGCTGTTCTTGACACACCTGGGCCAATGTCTTCTTGCCAAGATATCTACGCTCCTCCTGCAGTGGGAGCGGTGTTGTCTCGGTCATACGGCCATCAATATCTATGATCTGAGCCCGCCACTCTTCGTATTTGTGTACCAGATCCTTCCACTTCCACTGTTCGACCCAAGTATAGCCTGACTGACATCCGCAACTGCGACCCATGCAATAGCAGTCCATGCAAACGTCGTATGGCTCTTCTATCTCGGAGCTGAACAGGTTCTTGCACGATTTGCAACTCAGGAAGCGGTTGAAGATGTTGCATCTACAGTACGCGCACGTAACATAGCTATCATACGGTAAAAACTCTGTGTGCTCGCGAGAGTCTGGATTGAACATTTCCGAAAGCATAATGGTCTTGTAGAGGTCGAAGAGCTTCTTGAAATCCTTCTGCACTTTCGAAATCTTTGATGATCGCTGAATAGCGATAGACTGCTCACCACCTGCCTCAACCTGAGCACGAGCCGATTTGATTAGTGCGGAATACTTCTGTAAGGTGTAGTAGACAATAGCCTTGTTCTTGTACTGCTCGTCACGACATACAATTCGTGAACTAGGCAATGCTTCGTTCAAAGCGAGTTCAAGAGTTTCTACGGTGGTGCGATTCCATGCGATTTTCATGGTTCGAGTGCCGCGGTTCCACACCTGGTGTGGTGCTAGTGGGGGAATGAGAATGAAGTCTCCAGGTCGCTGCTCTACGACGTAAGTACGGAACGGCGCCTTTTTCCAGGCTATGAGTTGCGCAAAATGGTTTTCGACTTCAATGTCATGGCCCAAGACAGATAGCCAATATTCAGACACAACGTGGCGATCCTTGGTCTCCGTCATGAACCAGAGGGATGAGCCCGGACGCTCTGGCTTGCCATCTTCGCTTATTTGCCCAGAAGCGTTGACCATGATGTTCTGGCCCAGCGATGCGCACATTTCCCGATGCGCTGGTGTGTAGGTTCCTTCATGTCCAATATAGCACATCAGATTCTCAGCGCGCATCTCGGGTGGGAGGCTGCTCATAAGATCACCAGCACGTGCAATACCACGGCCTTTACGGCCTCCAGGCTCGTACAACGCGCCTGGCCCTCCAACTTCGCCGGTGGTATCATTGAGGTAGAATAACCCGGAAGGTATGTGCTCTTTCAACTTGTCGTGCCAGACTTGAGGACAATCAATGTCCTTCAGGTAGATTCGCTGGCGTTTCTTGTCACGGTATCGCTCTGGTGCTTCGAAGAACTGTTCTGTGAGCTTCGTCATGTGTTTGAGATAATGCTTGATCGTGAGAGGTATATTCTCCTTGGCAGATAGGTTGCACGCATTTTCGACTGAGCCTATTGTTAGCTATGCGCTTGCAGTAGGCCTGTACATGATCTACCTTTATCGCCATGATTGTCGCGCAACCACGATGGGGTGAAGGTCCATGGATCCAGTACCTCCTCGAAGCCGTCAATTACCAGTGGTTTTCCACCAAGTACAACATGCAATAGCACCAGTTTCTCGAATTGCTCCACGCCATTACTTGCAATCATCTCATAGGAAATTCGGTCAACATATTGGAAATTGTCGGCAGTTTCGACAAACGCGCGGACATCAAAATCTGGAGGAATCGGTTCAAACGAAGCACGGGGGCGCGCAGCTGGCATGGTGCTGGTAGAGTGTAAATTCGCCGGATGCCTTAGATGCCCTTCAGCGCTTGACAGAATGATGTGCGCATCTGCCTCAGGCGATGAAGCGCTGCAGCAGCCCGCAGTCCTCGTGGCCGCGAACAATCGTCGTTGGCGGATGATGAAGTTGCTGGTGGCAGATTGTGGAGGACGCGACTACCTAGTGGAGGAGGGTTTCAGGTAAACCCGCCAGCTAGCGTCATCCGCGTCACGTGCTACCCATTCCGGCGAACAGGGTCCACTCTCCAGTCTTCCTTCACTTTCACCACTTCATCACGTGTCGCGATGCTCGTTCGGCCTCCGCGGACTTAATTTATGCGTCAGTCGATATATATCCTTGGCCATCAGTTCACTCACCTCTAAGGACAGCTACTGATAATCAACGTGATCGCACAAGAGACGTCTCCTACCTGTAACTAGCACATGAGTGAGGATACGCATCAGAGCCATGGCGTTTTCAAGGGCACTTAGCATTCAGTCTGCAAACTCACTACCAATAAGCATCTTGCCAAGCTCACGATTGCAATGCAACTCAAGTCTATTGCAGATGCGTTGGAAAAGAGCGCTTTCTTCGAAGTCACGACTGCCTAGCTTATACCGACCACAACCCACACAACTGATCACTGCAATACCGTACAAGTTCTCGAATCCGTCCTTTAAAACAACAACAGCAGCCAACCATGCCTTGCCCTCGAAACGATTGTCAGACTACACACCACCAACCACGGGCATTTTATCCTACCTGCCGCAGAAAGCTGTCCCATACGGCGAACTCATGAGACTCGACAAACCAATCGGGACATACTACCTCTTCTTTCCATGTCTCTTCAGCACAATTCTTGCTGCAATCATGGCCACACCCATTGCCCCACCGCTAGCAGTTCTCAGCACTGGGGCTTTATTCTTCACAGGCGCTCTAGTAATGAGAGGTGCAGGATGTACCATAAACGACCTTTGGGACCGCGACCTTGACCCACATGTCGAACGCACACGGTTACGTCCGCTCGCTAGAAGAGCCGTCAACACCCGACAGGCCATGGTCTTTCTTGGCGGTCAACTGGCAGCCGGTCTAGCAGTATTACTGTCGCTACCTTTCGAATGCTTCTGGTATGCGACACCATCACTATTATTGGTCGCTACGTACCCGCTAGCCAAGCGTGTGACATATTACCCTCAATTTGTGCTTGGACTTACCTTCTCCTGGGGCGCTATTTTGGGATTCCCTGCTCTCGGCATCGACCCTCTCTCCAATCAAGCAGCACTTGCAGCAGCTGCATGTTTGTATGCGAGCAACGTGGCGTGGACTGTACTATACGATATGATCTACGCACACATGGATATCAAAGATGATGTGAAGGCGGGAATCAAAAGCATCGCTCTTAAGCATGAGAATGAGACTAAAAAGGTCCTCTCAGGTCTTGCTGTTGTGCAAGTCGGTCTTCTGGCTGCTACTGGAGTTGCAGCGGGCTTGGGACCGGTGTACTTCGTGGGATCTTGCGGTGGTGCGGCGCTCACGCTTGGTATCATGATCAGAAGAGTCAATTTGAAAGTAGTATCAGACTGCTGGTGGTGGTTTCGCAAAGGGGCGTGGTTTACAGGTGGAGTGATAAGCCTGGGCTTAGCTGGCGAGTATATCAGTCGGCTGCTTGTGATCTCACATGAGAACGAGAATCATGGGTCCAATAGACAGGAGAAAATTGTCGCTGCTTAGAGTGTATAGGCATGCGCGTTCTTTCATGTAGGGGCTGATCGTGGGGCGACGGAGGCTCAATGTGGCAATGTGGAGTATGTATACCATCTGTAACGACATAGGTCAAATTCAACAAAATACAATTGACACACGTCATTTTTAGAATAGATGTTATTTACTTACTAGTACCTGTGATCTCGGATGTTCAGGTCCGCAGAGTAATCGTCTTCGGTGCTATTCCTTGCTCATTCCCCTGGTCATGACACATAGAGACGTCTACAACTACTTCTGCTCTTTCAGATGCTTACCCACTCTTATGTTACTTGGTTCCGTGCATAAGATTCGTAGAATCTACGCAAGTCAGGTCAGCGAAGGAAAAATATAGTATTCCTCAATGTCAGAAGGATTTGCTTGTGTTCGCATATCACACACCATGGAAGATTCGTTCGATAGTAGTGTAGTGGCCAGAATTTTCTTCCGGTCTTGGACCTTGAGGATGTGCTACATGAAATTCTTAGCTCATGAATACTTCTCGCCTCCAATGATCCTTACCTCTTCAAAAGAGTCTTTCATGATGTAGCGATATGTAGTCACAGGTCGGGTCTGCCCGAGTCGATGTGCGCGAGCTAGGGCTTGATCTTCCACGGATGGGTTCCATTGAGGTTCAAGGAGGTGCACTTAGGACGCGGCTGTGACATCTAGTCTAAATACAGAGCCTATTACTACGGTGAGTAGCATGACGACGTGGGTGGAAGACTTACCCCAAAGCCCCACATGAAATGGTCTTGAGGATGACACGCACGGAAGTCTGATTGCGGAACCGCTCTATAATAGGTCCTCGCCTCTTGGTCGCGACTTTACCATCAATGCGGACGAAGCCGACACCTATTCTATCGAGTCCTCGTTCAACCATATCGAGACTAGAGGTCCATGCGGAGAATATTACACTATGAAATGTAAGCTCAGTCAACTGATAAGCATATTGGGGACATCTCACTGCTTTTGATTTGTATTTGATCCAATTTCTTTAAGGAGTGCCCGTACTTTGCTAGAAATGCGTTCACTTGTGTCTGTATCCATCTGATACTGAGAGAGGCTCCCCGTAGATGTTATGGTTTTCTCCGTGAGTATAAGCAGGCAATAGGGGAAGAAGCGGACAGATTGCGCGATTTTCAGTGCATGCGCATGGTGCTGGCGCTTGATATTGAAGAGTGATGGAACAGGTAACGCAAAATAGCAACTCGCAGGCCGAGTTGTAAACGCTGGAAGCCGGTGAGCTTTCGAGTTCATCTCCATTCAAAGAAGTTTCGAAAGGTTGCAGGCACTGAGCACATGCATCTCCGCCAATAGAGAGACGGACGGCCAGCGCTGTTTGTCTTGCGTCGATTCCTGCATGCTGTGCCAAGTCCAAGGGGTGTGAAGGTGTTGTTATGCCAAGATTACAAAATAGTCGGAGTTTGTTAATCTGTTAGATGGTAGTGTTCCAAATATGACAAGAACCAGATTCTTGTTCGGCCTTTTCGTCCAACAGATGCACGAAAGATTGTTCAATCTGGTGGTAACATTTTTCTTCGTCACGGTCGAATGTCGATACTACGATCTTGTCTTGTCTGACAGGGAGACCCAGGATCGACGTTGTCCGACGAATCATGATGCATGAAAGAAGCCTTTGGAACGACTCTACGGCTTCCACGTGAGGTCTAGACCGCCAAAGATCTGTAGTATCATTGTCGAAAGCTCTTGGTTCTTCATATGGCGTGAAATGGAGAAACGCAAAGAGTCTAAGGAGGTCCGTCAAATTATTTTGCATAGGCGTACCTGTGATTGCCCATCTCGAAGTCGCTTGAAGTGCGGCCGCCGCTCGTGCAGTTGCTGTTGCGTGATTTCGAATGATATGTGCTAGGACAGTCAGCACATAAGTTAGCCATGATCCCATGACATCTAGTATACCTTCATCCAAAACGATACGTTTCCAACAATATGAAAATAAAGAGCCAGCCTTATTCTTTCCGCTCCGATTTTCCCGCTCCATAGTTTGATATGTAGTAAAGACAATATCATATGAGCTTAAGGTATCTATGGTCCGAAGTCGCGATTTACCATGATAAACAATCCATGTGAATTTGCCTTCAATGGTGTGACTGCGAATATCAGCGCCAATCATCTTTACAACTCGGAGATACAGATAGTTTTAATTGTGATTCCCAAACTGCAAGCACTGATCAATTAGTTAGTTAAGAAAATGTCTGTTGTCGACATGACTAATACCATCTAAGGGAACGATAATCAAAGTAGAGCGGAGCCCTACCAAGGTACCGAATTGTAACCTTTGGTTACTGGCAGTGAGCTGAGCATCTCGGTCAGCAGCAACCAAAGCTATTACGCTCAAGGTCTTCCCAAGCCCCATTTCATCTGCCAAGATACCACCCCTCCAGTCCGGCCGCGGGTCCCGTTGCGTCTCTCCCGTCAAGATGTTCACATAGCTAAGGGAGGCACGATTAGTACATGATACTAATATAGTATGCAAGTCTGCTTACGTCTTGTTGCCACGTGTGATCTCACCAGACCAAATACCGACCTCATTTTTGCTAGGATGCAATCCTCGCTCGCGCCTTTGCAAGAACGTTGGAGCCTGACGCTGATGACTGTGATGACTTTTAGCATGCTTCCCTCCAATTAAATGTTTACGAAAACTACCATACCTCTTTAGATCTGTAGATATTGCCGTGGGCTTCTCAGTTTCTTCAAGATGGTCAGTGGTCTCAAACTCGGCTAGTACATCAGATGATGTCCGCTCGAAAGCGTACTGTCTTGTGCCGTAAACGCAACACAGCTCGAAAGTCATAGGTGGCTGCTCGTGCAAGCTGAACAGACATTGTGGGTTCAAACACGGCACGTTCTCGTCACATCCTATGGGATCTTCTAGGAACAATCCACATTGGGTAATATAGTCGCCGAGGTGACCCAATCGATTTCGAGGACCGTATATGATAGTCTCCAAGTGGCCAATAAGGCCTAATTGCGCACGCCTACCCGGTTTACTAAACGCTGGCAATGAATGGTAGGTGAGCTGCAATCTGAACTCCCGATCTTTCACTAGCCTTGACAGAACATCCCCATCGAATTGGCTAAGTCGCCCCAGTATGTTTCCAGTCGCGTAGCAGCGTAGGCTTTGAGGAAGATAAAAGTGAATGACATTTTGGCTATGTGGGTAAGCCAGAGCGGCTTCTGGGCATGTGAACACTTGACGGTCAAGAATCTATTAGACGTAAGCAAGCGTCATCCTCCCTTCTTGACAATTTACCCACCATTCCATAGCATACGACGCCCTCTTTGGAGTTATTGTACGTCTGAGTGCATGGGCGCACATCGGTCTGGTGGTCAACGCGGGTCGATGAAACGGCCACACTGTCTACGACGATAGTGGGAACCGAGGACGAAGTAAGCATATCGTAATCTACATTGCTCAGCCAGTACAAGGCAAGTGAATATACTATGAATCCCTCATGTTCTTCTTAAACAATACGATGGGTAGCGAAAGGAGGCTGAGCTGTAGGTAAGTGAACACAAAGAGGGCTCAGCCGCGGGGCTTGGAAACGCCGCAGTCAGTCTTGTGAGTACCGACATCGCAACTTTAGGCAACAGCGATCTCATTTCACTTTCGTAGCATTGAATTAAATGTCACTGCTCTATGCACTACGGTAAAAAATTGTTTACTGTAGAATCGTACGCTAGGGGTTTACTATATAGGTGTAAACTGCCCTCGTGTATACCCGTAAATAGGTTTAAAGTGGTGGTTTACTTTTATTAAAGTAGTAGTTTACTTTTATAGTAGGGGTTTAAATTAAGCATAAAAGTAGTTTTATTTCTATTATACGCTATAATACCTAACTAAGACTAAAAGGGGTAGAGAAGATTAGCTTCACGCTATACGTACATATGACATAATAATAAGTCATGATATTTTTACTAATAGGAGGTGGTGATAATAGAGGTGGTGATAGAGGTGGTAGAGGTGGTGGAGGTGGTGAAGAAGATTAAAGAAAGGAGGGGTAAAATACTTAGATAGTTAGTAGGAAACTAGTTATTACTACGTAATACTAGTAGATTAATAGAAGTAGAAGTAAAAGTGGAATACATAGTATAGTAAACCCTATTTAGGTTTACTTCTTCTACCTAAACCACTTCTTAGTCTACTTTAGATAAATATAGCTACTGTAAACCGGTTTTGTACCGTAGTGATGACTAGCACACAACTCACGACCGAGATTGTTTGAGTCGCTTTGGCTCAGCGAAACCAACCATAACTACCTACCGTAATATTTAGCTCGAACCACAATGTCGATCTCCTCACCCCAAGCTCGCCTCATAGTTCAAGACGCGTTCGAACGGTTTGCGACGACTGTACAGCCAGCACTACGGTACAAAATTGGTTTACAGTAGCCATATTTATTATGTTATATATGCGTATAGCGTAAAGCTAATCTTCTCTACCCCTTTTAGTTTTAGTTAGGTATTATAGCGTATATTAGAAAATAAAACTACTTTTATACTTTATATAACCCCCTACTATAAAAGTAAACCACCACTTTAAACCTATTTACAGGTATACACGAGGGCAGTTTGCACCTATATAGTAAACCCCTAGGTCATCATTCTACTGTAAACAATTTTGTACCGTAGTGCAGGTGACTGACGCGATTTTCAAAATACACAATTGCAAGATGTTAGAAATGAGGCTATCAAGATTGAGCGAAAGCTTCGTGAGCGGCGCACACAGCGGAATATGGCCCGCCTGGAGCCGTTCTTGCGTGGCATGGAGCACTACTCCAAAGTGATCGAAGTACTTTGCAACGGAACGCCCTATCCCCCCTGGATCTGGGCACCTGTGAAGCTGATGCTTATGGTAAGCCTGTTCAATTTCATAGGTTCGAAAGTGATGCAGGAGCTACCAGTGAAGTCTTGGGTCCTTCGTGTTCGCACTTGAAATGGATATGGTATGCTGGCACATGCTTTACCTTACTGACACAAACCCACGAACCGAAAGATCACAATCGATTCCCTGGGTGCCTTTTGAGAAACTCATTGAGGCCTACGGAAGAATTGGTGACATGATGCCTCGAATTGATCGCTTAGATAGCGCCCTAGGCTCTGATCACAACTTTCAAAGTACACTTGCTCTGATATATGCAGATATCCTGGAGTTTCATCGATGTGCATACAAATTTGTTCGCCAAAGTTGTGAGTATTTTCCAACACCTGGAATATGAAATACAGTCTCCTGACCTTAAAACCAGCATTGCATACTTTTTTCGGTTCCATGTGGGCTAGGTTCGAACTACGGTTTAGTGGCATCCTGGCACAACTCGCATAATATCATAGTAAGCTTATTGACAAAGAAGCCATTGCGATCGATATTTCTAAACGCGACGAATCAAAGTAGAGAGCAAGCATTGAAATGGGAGCGGCAGGAAGAGGAATGGAGGGCCGCTAAGGTTCGGGTGGTCCTTTCGTGGCTTGCCACAGGCGCCCAATTGCCAGAGGACGCTTTGGACAAACACGCTGAACAGTGTCTTCCAAACAGCTGCGACTGGTTTGTACAAGATGATAAGATATAGAGGTGGCTGAAAGATGGAGGCAGTAAAGCGTTTTTATGGCTGACTGGGAAACCTGGAGCAGGTTAGTTGCACTGATCACAAAGAGACTCAAAACAGGACTCACCCTTCATTATAGGAAAATCTATCTTATGTTCAAGTCTCATCCAACATGCACAACAGAAAAACGCGATACCCGTATTTTCTACTTCTGTTCTTATTTAGACGGCTCCGAGGCAACTTCTTCTCGAATCCTGCGTTCACTCGCATCACAGACCATCCAAAAACATCAAGATCTTGCCATCCACGTACACGACGTATACTTTCAATCTCACCCCGTCCCAACAAGGAAGGCATTGTTATGCCTTCTGCCAGAGCTCTTACAAGGAATAGGTTCCGCGCGACTAGTTATCGACGGTGTCGATGAATGTTCAGCAAGCGATCAGGTAGAACTTCTCAAAGACATGACACAACTCCGCACGAACACTTCCTCGTCGTTGAACTTGAAAATTCGAATAGCCAGCCGGAATACTCTGGGTATCTTGGGGGCAATATACAAGAAGAGGGGTGCAGCTACTACAATCTCTTTGAGCGACAGCCAAGAGGATCTTGCGATAAGCCGTTCAATTGAGCAGTTCATCGATGATCGGCTAGCGGATCTTCCTGATCATCTGCATGACTTGGATCCTGATGGGTCCATACTTGCAGAAGTGAAACAAACACTGGCAACGAAATCTAACGGTATGATTAACCCACAGGTATAACGGCCTAGCTAATTATGGAGCAGGTATGTTTTTATGGGTGCGCCTAGTCCTCGACTCACTGGAGACAATATACAGCCCGGAGGCGTTCAGAGACGTGGTTAAAAGCCTACCTTCTGATCTAGAAACCCTGTATGAACGTGTACTCCTGCGTATCTGTAGTGCCCCTGGACCTCAGGAATATGGAGGAGTTCCTCATATCATCAGCTGGATATGTTGCGCGCAAAGACCTCTGCTGAAACATGAACTTCTTCAAGGATTGGCGTTCTCCAAGAATGACGCAGTCAACGATGCTCGCAGCATCCCGCTTGCACAAGTCCTGGACCATTGTAAGCCTTTTATTGAGGAGCGATCGGATTCAACAATTGTGTTTGTCCACTTTTCTGTCCAAGAGTAGGCTTCAGTCTCAGTGATCCACTTCCTAGCTAACTTCCTCTCAGATTCTTCGCAAAGCATCATTCACTTCAAATCATTCCATCCAGTCAAGGACAGCTTTACATGGCAAACGCCTGTGTTGTCACACTTATTCGTGCTTTAGACCTTGTCCGCTCCGGAGCCGATCTTTTCCAGAATCGTATACAGTTTGCCAGTGGAGCCTACCGACTCTTATCGTACGCAGTAGAGTTTTGGATTGAGCACTGCTTACTGTATGCTTCATCTACCGACGCAATTGTGTTTGATGGCTCGCTCTCTCGTAATCTTGCCAATCTCTACGAGACGCACAATAAGTATAAACGTAAACACGGCAAGATGAGTGGTGGTGTATCGATAGAAAGTGGAGCTTCTGAGGCCAAAGTTGATTAACGTATCGCTCTGCTATGTCAGCTTCCAATCCACACCGTCATGAAGGAAGTATTGCGAGCTCGTCAAAAAGCACTTATACAGGCTTGCGAGGATGGAAAAGGTACTATGTTTTCCGATTTGAAAGAGATCACACGCTGACTTGCGACCTTTTATAGCGGTGGAAAACTTCCTGGTCTCTAATGACCTCACTCTTTTTAGCCGCTTGTTAACTACTTTTGACAGCATTGTTGTGTACTTGTTATCGCAGACAGAAGTCGCAGGGATCTCAAAAGTTACTCTACAGGCTTTCCAAAACTCTTGTGCGTCTACAGCGTTCCGGTGCCGTTATCCTCGGTGTGCGCGATCGTCAATAGGCTTCGCTTCCCTACAGATGCAGACACAACATGAAGCTGGGCATGCTCAGCGTGTCTACTGCAGAGAAGAATCATGTCAATATCATCGCATTGGATTCTCAAAGAGGGCCGCACTCAACGCACATATACGAGCACTTCACACTGCAAATCCTACATTGCTGATACCAGCAAGAATTCGAAACGCAAAAGATGACGACGAGGCCCAGAGAGACGACCTCAATTCATCTACTGAGCAAAGGGCCCGTACTCTTTCCAAAGGCCCCCCCCCCAAATCCCCGAATGCCCAGCAAAAAAGACATTCAACGCAAACTGTGACAAGCGAAGCAGAAGACCGTTCTGTAACTGCTCTTCCTTCAGCTTGGGGAATTTACCAACGGTTAAAAAACAATGTGCGATTGGACTTCGCACCTATGGAGTTTAATCTACCAGCCAAAGAACACAATCTCCTACCAGTAACAGAGAAGATGCGAATAGACATGATACCGGAAAATTTCGATTCATCGATCAAGGCACACTTGCTCCGTGTCCCAGTTGCAGAATTTCGACCAATATTGGCAGGCTACATCAGCAGGCGAGGCTTGCCAGAAAACAGCACGGAGGCACAAAGCGAAGCTGTACGTGGTGGAGACGTTCATTCTAAACGTACAGACTACCAGCAAGGCATGCGTCTTCACACCCAGACAAAATCGTACGTACTTGAGGATCTGGAGCGCGCGCGTCTCGCACCAGGCAGTGGTTTGGCAAAGCCTAATGAGGAACTGATTGAATTTTTGGAATCAAGTGCAGACAATAGTGCTGCGTATCCCCACGCCAGAATATTTACTACACCATCTCCGCTCCCTGGCACACCCTACCCTTACCCACGTCCACATACATCTGTCACCACGGATCAGCATTCTAGCCCAATGGCGTCAACACAGTTACCCGCTTCTTCACTGGCCAATGTAGTTAACGATGATCCTCCCCGCGATAAGACAGGCTTTGAGTCCAATACTTCTTTGAAGGACAATATGGAAGCCCTGGATTCTGATTGGGTTCACAGTTGGTTCGCAGACGACAAGTGTAGAATAGCTGTAATATTGTGCCGTATCAAGTATGACACTAATCATTCCTGCATTAGTATTTAATCACGCACTACTGCATCTGTAGAACAATATAGCTCGATTTGCAAGAGACTGGACAGAAATTCCCGCCCTGGAGACATTGTAGACAACTTAAAATTAAGAAAATTTCATCAATTGATAAATATCAAAATTGTGCCTTACTTTATTATTATAATTGTACAAAATAAAATAAATATGCTACAACACTAAAGCCACAAGCAAACACAATGCTGCTCCACACAATCTATCCTTAAACACCCGCCAAAAAAAGACGCAACAAAAAGATAATCAAATCTGAATGACCCCAGAGCGATTTGCTAACCAACGTCAGCAACTGTGAATCGAACATACGATCCTGGGAACAATAGTGCGGATAAACTTACAACGCCCAGCCTTCAGGTACTTCCAAAATTTCTGGAATCTGACGCGCTACCATTGCGCCATAGGGCCTGCATGAACAGCAATGATAATTTTTCAAAAAAAAGCCGTTTATATCCCTGTTCTTTTCATGTGGAAAAATCAGTTCGCAACTGGTGAGGGGCTGTGCGAGGAACTCGGCGAGGTTTGCGAAGCGGGGTAGGAGACTGAGGAAGTGGGGTACCTATCGGTACCTACGGTAAATGGGGTCTGGAACTTGCGCGGGAGGGAGGGGGCGGGGTGGCATGATTTGTGGCATCAAGGTGCTGGCACGGAAAGAAACACGGGTAGAGGAAATTCACAAGTGCATGCGCAACAGGGCAATAGGAAGGAAAATGGATTTGTAAATCCCGAGCGACTTGGGATTAAGCTTCCTGATGCGATGCAGGTCCCGCTGCTGAGCTTTCCCAGTGCCTACGGTAAAGTTCACATTGCAATCAGTGAACCCATTTATTCCTCAGCGTGTGCCGTGGAAACTAACTATCTTGCGTCGTAGTCGAATCAAAGGTTGGGGATGACGGCTACGACTATTGGTTGCACGTTTTGACATGTCGCTGATATGGGCGAGTGTTGCTTTCTAGGGCCGGTCTTCAAAGGTACCATGGATGTGGAAAGCTCTCAGAAAGGAGCTTGATGGTGTAGCTTGAGGCTTGTAACGATATGATATATTGGAACCTAGCCATGTTGAAGCTACATTTCTGGATTTGGAATCATGAAGCTTGGAGCTGTACCGTTGACCCACGTACCGGTACCCAGATCAACACCACAGTCACTATCATTTAGACCATCACACAAACCATGTGAGACAGGTCCAACACAAGCTATCCACGTAAGTCAACCCAACACAAATCTATCCACCCCATCCTCCCCTCCCTCCGTCCAAAAAAAAGGCCTCGACCAAATCCACCCTCTCTAGGTAGCTTCGAAATCTCCGCAACTCAGTCTTCCCCACAAAAAAGCCACTTACCATACTCATAGATCCCCTAGATCCGAGTAACAATGCAAATCACATCCACTTACGCCCCCCTTACCCAACAAAAGTCCTCGATTATTTTTAGCTGGGGGGCAACAACGAACCGAGCCGCAACTCTGCTATTCATACGATACATATGGGTAGGTAGTGAACCGAGCCAAGGGCTAGCGCTGAGTTGTCTTTGCTGGACAGACGGCAGGCCAGAGAAAACCGACGGCTTGTTTCAAGCAAGCTCGGAGGGCTGAGAAGCAATAGTCAGTTATTTTACTCTAAACTTGTGACGGCCGTGTGCTGGCTCGGCCGCGTCTAGGAAGCTCACGGTCCTTACGGTACTTTATCCCCTGGAGTCGCACCGACGTGGCCTTGTGTTGCCCGTCTCCTCTCTGTATGTAGTAATATCCTTGGCGCAACGGAAGATGTGTCTATGCATCTACGACATATTTATTTCTGCGCAAAGCGACTGTGGTAAGCCTCTGGCCAGCAACAAGTCAATAATGCAACATACAACACCGTGTCGCGCGGAACACGGGGGTTCCAACAAACTCATTCAGGCAATTGGCAGTCTGACTAACCCCCATCCGGCCGTACCGGTACTAGCGCTTTACACTTTCTTGTGTCTAGTGACCCACGAACACGTCTCTCTCTCTCTCTCACGTACTCTTTCGCACACAGAGGTCTCCAAATTTACCGTACCGTGCTGTACCATACCATACCCATACCTTTCTTGCGGCGCAATGGCTAATGCGGAACCGGGAGTCCGCTATGAGATTGAAGAACGGGATGAGGCCGGGAATGTGGTAGCGACGTATATCTCCGATGAAGGGGGACAAAGAGTCGATGTTATTGTACGTCAACATGTTGTTTGAGATGTGGATCCCGATGTTGGGACTCGAGACGTACTGTGTACCGTAGCGGGAACCAAACTGGGGGTTCCTTTTGTTTCTTGATTTCTTGCATCTGACAGGGCAAGCAACAGCAGCCACAAGACGCAAAAGGCTACGCGCAACGCGTGCTCGATGTGTTTTTGCCCGCGGGCTATCCGCATAGCGTAACGGAGGATTATATCCAGTATCAGATTTATGTATGCCAAACTCCCCCCGACCCACGTTCTCCACGCCCACTCTGCAAGATATCATGCCATTTTCAAAGATCCTGATGAAAAGGGTTGGCTAGGATTCTCTCCAGGCATTCTCCTCGTCGATTGCGAGCATGTTGGCTTCCCGCGCTGTACTTGAAGGTAAGCTCCGTTTTCAGCTGTTTCGGGTTCATGTTTGGATCGATGTTGTTCAGTCGCGCTCGTTTAGTCAATCTATCTGTCGCTATGGCGTTAATAGCGTTCCCGCTTCTGGGCTCTGGGGTGGTCTTGGTGCTGCGAGGCTCGATAGACCTTTTCGGAACCATGTCCCTTTTCTTCCCGTGGCAGCTTGTGGGAAGATTGCCGACGAGCATCCCTGCACTTTCATTAACAGACTCGCAGGTGTGGGAGTAGGAGACGCAAATGCCTCTCCCACTGCAGCCTTGCTACTTTCGGTATTGCAAGACTCCATGGGCCGTACAGCGACCATTCTCTTCGCAGACAGATTAGGCACCGCATTTGAGCCAGAATGCAAAATGTACCGTTTTACGGCCGACATCTTAAACGATACAGGCATGGTCCTCGAATGTCTTTCCCCTGCGTTTCCAAAACCGATCCGCGTGTGCGTCCTGAGCTGTTCCAGTGTCCTTCGCTCGCTGTGCGGGGTCTGCGCAGGTTCCGCAAAAGCAAGTCTGAGCGCGCACTTTGCGCGCAAAGGAAATCTGGGAGAAGTCAATGCGGTAGGTTCGCTCTTCTGGCACATGTGGTCTTTGCTTCACGTCAACCACGGATGCCGATTGTTTGTTGAGAATGAAGACGTGGGATGCGTATGCGTGGTGTTGATGAATTCCATATTGGATGCGACCGGGATGTTTGGTTGGAACGCGTGCGGCAATGCGCCCATGAGAACCTCAGGCTAACGATTTATCCCAGAAAGATTCGAGCCAAGAGACGGTAATATCGCTGCTTGGAATGTTGGTAAGCTCCACCTTATCTTCATCCTCCTTTTGTGGCTCAGTCATTGGGACAAATGTGCAGACAGGTGACACGCTGCGGCCTACGTCGTAGGCCTCCCAAAGTCTTATCGTGGCATGATTTGTTATATTGAAGAGACTGCTTCCGATGTACCGCTTAGCGAGGCAGTGAGCAAACTTATTAACCAGCACTATAGGCCGGTAGCGTTGTAGTATCCTGGATCTCCTCACCCATGGCGACATGGTCAACTCTTATCGGGCTACTTGCCATTCACCTGGCGACAAATTACGCCGCAGTCAGGGCAGTCAGCATGCGCTGCTTGAACCGGCAGCGAGCGAATATTCTATTCAGCCGTCTTCTGGAACACGGACAGCTTCTCAGCCCACTTGAAGTATCTCGCCGTGAACGCGTATTCGAACACGATGGCGTATTGCGCTGGTCAGACGACATGGCCATTGGCTACTGCAGAATAGGCGTATCGCTGCAGACACTGCTGAGCCACATGGGTCTTCGCAACGCACGAACAGGCTCCTTGCATTTACGCGGAGCTGAAATATCCGAACTTTTGCACGTCTTCGTCGACGAGGCGTACATTCTTTGGCCAGCCTCATCTGCAGGCCATTTCCTCATCGTGCTCAAAGAGGGTTGTACACCGATGGATCAGCTCAAAGCATGGGCGCACGCCCTGTTGCTTGCGAAAGGGTATTCATTGCCTGGGGCTAAGTCGGTAGTTGACCAGACATCTCTGGCGGGGAATCGCCTTGCTGATGTGAGACGGACGCTGGCGGATACGCGGACCATGTTCGAGAAGTATTCCGGAGCAATGAGAGATGCAGGGTGGGATCTGAACATTGCTGCCCTGGAGACCCTGGGCGGGACTAGAGTGAAGATGAAACGACACCAGAAAAGGTAAAGATCATGCGAGGACTTGCTAGATTGAGCAACTGTCGTTGACTGTCAGATCGATGTACCCGTAAGGTGCAGGGTGTCTACTTCCGAGCATCCGATTGTCCTAGAATAAGTCGATCTACGTGTACCAGACAGATCTTGTCAAGAACTTTGATGCCTATCGTACTCCATGTGACCCAGAGATTGTCGTTACCATGAACGTAGACATTATGACGCTGAGTCAGCGAGGCTCTGAAAAGTACGGTACTATGTACACCTACGCGGATGGGGTGGATTTGTACTGTAGCAACAGGTTCTCTATCAGTCAGCATGTTCCCCGTCTGCGGTCTTGCGCCGCTGCGGCATCAGTGACCTTGCTGACGTTCCAGTTCAGTCTCAAGGCCCCACATGCCGACTGGTGGTTGAGGAGCACTTGTCACTGCTGAAAATGTGCGTCAAAGACTCTCGTAATCCGTTCCACCACAGTGCGCACCCAGTCTGAGCTTTTCTTCTGGATACATGTGCATTGTGGAGCACGAAGGCGGCCCGAGAAGCAGGATCCGTTGTTAAGCCGGAAGATTCTGTAGAACTCTATATTGTTTGCTCTACCTGATCCTCGTCAGAATTTGGGCTGTCTTCGCTGGACACGTAATGCGACTCGAGAGCAAGCAAGACGAGGATGACGAACGCCTACGCGGCAAAGTCATCCCAGTAAGCAATTTCCCAGCTCTGTGGCCTTGGAAGACGAGGCGCAAAAGGGCTTCCATCCATAGGACAGGCTTGCTTCCGAGGCGCCCCTAGCTAAAGGAGTCACGGTATTCGCTCCAAAGACATATAGGTACTATAGCAGGTATATGTATAGAGCGGCGTGTCAGTGCAGAGGTGCACGAGGTCAGCATATGGCTTCACCCGTTGAGGCAGGTACTCTATTACTACGGAGTAGAGGAATGAAGGACGTGGGATGCGGCGAAAAGTGACCCCACGAAGCGGTGAAGCGGGTGAATCACAGCGCTATGGCAAAGGCTCCACTTTGTGCGTCATGTTTGATCCTGAGGCACCGAGCTTTGGCTGGCGGCTCAAAAGAAAAATCTGTGACAAGTTTTTGCTGGCCGTGGGCGCGTGCTGAGTCGCAAGTCGCTTACTGTCGGTGGTGGTGCCACGACAGGATGACCTTGACCTTCTAGACGGCGCCGCGACCGCCTTCCCGAGGTTCGCAACTGCAGCGCTTCGAATGCTTCGCGAGAAGAGGCTCAACAGTTTGCGACGGCGCGACGGCGTGTCGCATTCTGCGCATACCCGCCACTGACACGGGTCGCACTGACAAGTGGTGTTCTGTTGGGTTGAGCATCAGGCGCAAGATCAAAAAGATCACCTAGACGGAAGATCGACCGAAGCGCCGTTTTCGTTGGCGCTAGATAGCTTCAGGCAACCTTCTCGAAAGTGTGGAAGTCTTCTGGAAGGATTCCCTCGGGTGCACGGTGATGGAACGCGCGACAGGGAGCTCATAATAGGAAGCGGTCGTACATGCATACCTACGGTGTACTCTCTCCAGTTGGACGTCAGCGCCCTAGGGCGCTTTCTGCACACTCTCATCAGCAATGCGGCGCGACAGACACATGGCATGGTACATCCAGCGCAGGGGCCTATGGAATGCCTGAGGGAATTAACAGGCGACTGACGCAGCTCTAGCAGTGCCTAGTAGCAAGAGTACTACTTTGCTTTGATGCTGGTATCCACCGTGTTTGCCAAAGCGCAGTCAGGTGGCGCGGTCTGGGATCCACCTGATGTGGATCAGGGTGATGGCTGAGGTCACAGAGATTGCGTGGGATACCTGTTTTCAATACGGTAAAGAAATGTCTCGAAACCGAACCCCGGACAGCGTTGGGAAGGGGGAGAGAGGGGAGAGAGGGCTGTCCATCCCCAACGATAGGGCGATTGCCAAGGAAAGCGACCGTGCGCAGCTTGCTTTTGCGCTAAAGGGGGGCCGCTGCGATGGGAATCACACAGCCTATGAGCCAGTAGGGAGCCAGGGCCGTGTCATTGGCTCGCTCGTAGAGGTCACATTCGGACTTGTGGACGGTTTGGAACGACGCAATGTTGTTCTTTGATGAAAGAGGGATCTGGGACCTGGCTGTGTTGACCTGTGTTGTCGCGCTCACTGCAGTCAAAGAGTAGGGTGGCATCACACCAAACGGTCCATGTCATGGGGGATCGAGTGACTTTCCTTTGTTAGGAGAGGTCAGAGTCAAAGTGACGAGGTTCACGTCGGTGCTGACGTCTGCTTGCGGCGGAGGAGGGGGAGGCGGAGACGAGGAAGTAGTCTAAGAGGAGGAGGTGGAGGTGGATTGCTCTGCGATTTCGCGAATCTGCGACCCTGCGTGAGGGTTTGGGTACCCGCAATGCTCCATGGTAAGACATGAGAGTGTGGTCGGAATGTTGGAGGGCTTGTGAAGCGCTGGCGATCAACAAGGCGTCTGATAGTGGAAGGCGACTGTCGTGGAGAGCTTCGATTGGGAAGCCCGGACAAGAATGCTTATCGAAAGCAGCCGACGGGAAAGGCAGAGTGGATAGAGGGTGACAGCAGCTGAGTGGACAGGGCGGGGGCCACTGTGATCTAGGTACTGTATGGCGTAGCATGGGTGGCCGACTAAGAGCCGGGGTGGGAGCGAGGCGCAAAGGGTTGGAAAGAGGATGGGTGAGATGGAGACCGAGCGCTGCGCCCGCATGCCTGCCGTGTTGCATGCTGTGCTTCCTACGATAAAGTAGAGTAGACAGACACAGACACAGTACCTACATGGCCATGTCCAGTATACTAGAGGGCCGTTGCATTTACCATTTGCCTGTAGTGATGGCGGTGGTGGTGGTGGTGGGGGTGGCTGTTGGGTGTTGCTCGTCCGTCACGGCGTCAGGCCATGCATACGAACTACTGTGTATGTACGTACTGTTGGATGTATGGACTGCAGTACGAGTGCTGTATACGTCTAAACGTATAGTACTAGGTATGCATGTAAGTAATGTAACTAACAGTACGTGGACGTGGGTACTATAGTGGAAGTGGACATGGTTGGGAATCTGTCTTGGAGAGCAAGAGCGATCAGCCCAGTAGCCAATAGACGGTGTTAGCCATGTGCGAGGGTCTGTAACAAGCCGTGGAATGGTGGCAGCTTTGGGTGGCGATGGGAAAGTGGAGGCGTTTCGTCAGGGAGCCCGTGGTATTCCAGAAGGTGCAGCCTGTCCAATACGGGCAGGAGCTTCTCTTCTCCCCCCTCCTCTCTCCGGTCCCCCATGGCGCCTGCCGCTGCTTTTACTGTGTATTGTAAGTGGTCCATACATACCTACTAGGTCTACTATACATATATACATACATACATACATACATACATACACACTGTATGGCGCACTTGCCACAAGTACCCATGTTCCACAGTACGTACAGTATTGTCTAAGCGTGCGTAGAGTAGGTACATCAATGATACACACTTACGCTCTACCCTACTCTACCGCAGGGAAGAGAGAAGGTGGGTCCCCCTGCTCTGCTGGGCGTTCTTTTTGCCCTTGCCCTTGCCCTTGCCCTTGCCCTTCAGTCCGTCGCACCGACCTGGCACGACCCAAAGCCCGCACGGACCAGCAAGGTACTGACCTTTTCTGGCACTGACCACACACCACTTGACTGACCCTCCAGGCCCCTTGACTGACCCGACCTGAGCCAGGCCAGCATCGCCAAACCGCCGTGGCACTCCTCTGGCGTGTGCACACTGCCCTCCAACTCCACTTCCCTCCCTCATCTGACTTCTCTGAGTG